ATCCACTTTCCAGATCTTCTTTCCTTCCTCCTCAGGATCGTACCTTGTTCAGTCATCTTGAGACCTCCTACACAAAGGAGCTATTGAATGGGTGGTGCCCACTCAACCAGGATTTTACTCACATTTATGTGTTGTCCCCAAACACATGGAAGATTGAAGACCCATTATAGATCTGTCCCAGCTGCATACCTATATGGAGACAATTCGCTTCATTATGGAGTCCTATACCTCTTACTTAGGTGAGTTTTTTCCTAGGGACTTTGGATGACCAAGTTCGATGTGATGGATGCCTATCTTCATATTCCATTTGCCCCAGTATCACATTGTTTTCTTTGGTTCGTCCATGAAGGTTCTGTCTTCCAGTTCTGGCTGCTACTGTTTGGTCTTTTTTCAGCTCTGTATGTGTTTTGTGGATTATTATGTTTTTTTGTGAGTCATCATCATTTGCTGTGTCTTCTGACTCACCATTACATGGATGACTGGCTACTGCTCACCTCTTTTCATTCCCAGTCAAGTCACTCACACCCACTTACTTCTTCAAGAAGCTGCTCAGGTGAGGTTTCTCATCAAGTTGGAGAAGCCCTTTACTACCCCTATGCAATATCTTATTCATTTGGAGTTTTTCTTCAATTCCTATCTCACTCAGGCCCAGCCTTCTCTACTTAGGCTGTGGGAGATGGAACGAGTAGTCACGACAGCCCTACCTTCTCCTCTCTCTGAGTGAGAGGTTCTATCTCTTTTTTGGGATGTGGGTTCTGATTCCCTTGGGCTGGGCACACATGCATTCTCTTCTTTGGATGCTTCTCGACTAGTGGAACTTCTCCCAAAATCCATTTGACCATCACCCTTCCACCTTACCATGGTGGGGGTTCCCATTCGTCTACCTCGTCTAGAGTCTCATCTGTTCACAGATGCTTCCTTGGTGGGTTGGGGGCTTTCCTCGATTCCCAAGAGATTTTGGGTCAGTGGTCAGTCAAGGAGGTTTCTCTTCATATCAACATCCAGGAACTCTTGGCAGTTAATCAGGCTCTGTATCATTTTCTCCCACTGCTTCGGGGGTGGTTGGTTACGATTCATTCTGACAATTCCATTGTCATCAGCTATATCACCAAACAAGGTGAAATCAAGTCCAGATTTCCATGTTTTCAGACTCTGAAGCTCCTGTACTAAGCCAATGACCACGACATATGCTTCTGTCATGTCAAGTTTCTGGAATTATTAATATTGTGGTTGATCGCTTATCCTGTTCCAACCAGGTTCTCCCCATGTGTAGTCCCCTCATCCTCAGGTATTTCTGTGGATGTGTTCTCCAGTGGGAACACCACACATATGCATTTGCCTTTCACTGGAATGCCAAACTTCCTTCCTTTTGGTCTCCAGTTCCTCACCCCTCAGCTCTGAGGGTGGATGCTTTCAGTTCAGATTGGAAGGGTTTTCACCTATATGCCTACCCTCTGATCAGACTCTTCTCCAGAGTCATTTCCCTTATCCAGACCACTCCTTTTCATGTTCTGTTGATTGCTTTATATTGGCCAGCTCAGATGTGGTTCCTCTGCTCTGGCCCTTCCTGGAGCAACAGCCCCTGCCCTTACCGCTGTCCCAATCATTCCACTGACAAACACAATTAGACATATTTCATCCCAACGTCACCAAACCTCCATCTTCATGCATGGCTTTTGTTTGGTCCCCTGCCTCATCTCATGGACTCACTGGTCATGTAGCATCTTTTCTTGCCTCCCTGTGATATATCATCTGTTATGCTCACTGGTTGGGTTTGTCATCTCGTAAGACTGGCATAGTCTGACTTGTCCATGGAAGGTCGCTGTCTACATAATGTTTCTTCCCACCAAATTAGTCATTTATGTCTTTAGCTGCTCAAAACCGCCATCTTTCAGTGGAGATCATTCAGGCTGTTATGTTGGCAACTCCCAATACATTTGTCTCATTTTATCTGCATCACCTATCTGTGTCTTCCTTGGGCGAGTATTGTCTTTCTCCTGTGGCAATTCTACACACACATGTTTGCCTTTGACTAGGGTAAGTCAACATATTATTAGTTTTTATCTTATTTTGTTGATATACATCATATTTCAGGATCCCACCTGGTGGCAGGTGTTGCCTAGTCAGGTATACTTTTGTATACCAAACAAAATTGGACTTTATATATCATGTGTACCACTCATCGAGAAGAGAGCTGTCATCATTATACTCAGTGCTATAGCAAACAATGATTATACAACAACAAATTATTCAGGATGGATCGCACTCAGCATAATCCAAAGTATCCCAAGATGCTTCACTTGGAAGTTTTTTGCCCGGATGGACCACACTTGGCCTATTCATATACAATTCATGGTCCTTTAGCCCTAGACATGTATAATTATTTAATTTTTCTCTGGCACCATACTATGGCTCACTATCACTATGTTTGGTACTACAACTTGCTATGTACATGTGGACAAAGTATGATATGTATGTTGACAACAAGCTGATTATGAAAAACCTCATGATCACACTCATACCAGTAATTTTGTTCTCATAATCCTACAAATCTAAGGCACTTCCCCTGGAATTTGTTTTTTGACTGAGAGGACCACCATTGTTAATCACAATATCTTATACAACCTGTTTCCACTGGCTGGACACACTACCCTTGGCATGTACTTATTCAGGCCCATTGTCACTTAAACACTAGACCTTCTGTGTTTGTCCATACCATACTGTTTCAAGTCATAGTTATACAGCACTTTTCCACTGATTCAGTGCTGTATGTCTCTTTCCTGCATGCATTGGTGCCTACCAATTGGTTCAGCCCTCTTTGAGTTACAGTGTTAATTGCTGGGCAAAGAGCATACCTATTCCAGAAGAAGTGCTATACCCCACAAGTGTGCTTTCTTTTCATATTCTTGCAACCTTTTCTTTCAGTCTGGTTGCTTTCCACTTGATTGAATATTGATGCACCTTCACTGGCCCCTCCACCTTAGCAGTGTGGGTTTCTAGCTTTGGGTGAGACGAAGTAAGACCATTTTGGAAGTTAACATTTGCTTACACTGAAATTGTATTTCCGATAGGTACTTACCTCCCATCACTCACTTCCCACCCTTCTTCCCCACTGATATGCCACTGTTTCTGGTTCATATCTGCTAATTCTCGAAAGCGACGATTGTTTTAGAATAGTAGAGGGAGCTAGCTGTGCTAGTATAGATGATGCAGATGATCAGCACATGTTCTGAAATGGTGAGAAACTGATGGGGTATAAAATACTGATGCACTGTTAGTGAAAATTTTTTTATCAATGCTTAGAGGGCAAACCAGGATTGAGATAGGTTTGGGTAAGATGAGGTAAGTGCCTATCAGAAATACGTTTCAAGTGTGAGAAAAGGTTAACTTTTGGTTAACTGAATATTTTTGTGAGTTTTGACACTAATTGATTAAATTAGACAAACAGAAATTAAGAGATAATCATAATGACAATATTTCAATTACTTGAATTATTGGAATAATCAAAAACACTAATTTTGATTAGTTAATTATTTTAGTGACATTAATAAATTTAATCATAATTTTGATTATTGAATAGTTAGAATAATTAAAAACAGTAATATTTGAAGACACTAATTTTGATTAATTGATTATTTTCAAGGCATTAGTCAATTTAATCATAATTTCAACTACTGGATAATTGGAATGAGCAAAAACAGTTATAATTGAAAACACTAGTTGATTATTTTCATGACATTAATCAATTATTTGATTAAATGATTATTTTACATGATACTGATCAAAGTAACCAATACTCATAGATGATTGAGTTAATTGCTTAGCTTTACGTCTCACACTTCAGATATTTGCAATTTATAATATCCTACCTAGTAACATCCATAATTCAGTTGTTGATTGACTTGGTCACATTTATTTCTAACTTGACTAACACACTTTCTTTTATAGAATCAGCTTTTTCTCCTGCTTGACATAAAGGCTAGCATGTTCTTGTGGTTAATTGATTTATTTCATAGTCATAAGGGACCACTTGGTTTGTTCAGATGAGTTCTTCTCTTGATACAGCTTTTCATTCTGTCTCTTACAAATTTGTGCTAGTCTACCTCTTGATGTTATTCATCCATATCATTTTTATCCTTTCTTGTTTGTTCTTGCCACTCATTGTCCCTTTATTTGTGGTCATTACAGAGCTTGTGCATTTTCTCATCTTATTTTGCCAGTTTCGTTTTCGTCACCTCATCTAACAAACTTTTCTCTTCCAGAATTCCCACCATTTCTCTCATCCATTCATTGATTCTCCAGTTTCATCTGAAGTACTCACTTCCTGCATCATATCTCAAATTCTGTTGCACTTTTGTTGTCACTCTCCTTCAGATTAGGTAGATGAAAAATGATCAACAGCTATATTTCATCTTCATTGTTATGTTAAATTGATGTTTCTTTATCTGTTAAACTAAGGATGTCAGTTTAGATTAATGAAATATGAAGTCATTGTACTAGGTATGTGATAGCAGTTATTCCGTCATTGATTAGTTTTGTGTAATATATCCCCCCCCCTACCACACACACACACGTGTACTTAGGACTTTAATACCTGATTAAATTTACGATAATTAATGTTCCAGTTGTACCTGAAATATTCAAATGATTCACCTGTTTCTTTGTTTTCACATGAATATGGGCTAAACATGGTTTAGTGGTTGGCACATTAGAATGTGAATCTGGAAGTCCAGTTTTCACATATCTTTGCCACAAAGTCACTCTTCATATTTCTGGGCCATGGATGCATTGTAAGAGTAATGCTCAAATCCAACTAGTTGATTAGTGTAGAACAAGAGTTGGCAGTTGGTATTGTTGACTCTACTACCTTTCCATATTATTAGATCAAAATTAAGGATGGCTAGCACAGATAAAAGAAACAAACACATATATATTCTCACTGAATATCTAATATTTCATTATGTTCTTCAAATTGTCTCTTTGTTTACATTTATCAACAGGTTGTGTCAGCCCTGTCCTACATGCACAGCCTCAACATCCTTCATCGAGATGTAAAGGATGAGAACATTATTCTTGACCAATATTTTCATGCCAAGCTCATTGACTTTGGGTCTGCATCTTTCATGGCAGCTGATCGATACTTCTCAACTTTTTGTGGAACAATGGAGTACTGTAGTCCAGAAGTTCTTAAGGGAAACAAGTACTTATTAGAAAGCTTTTCTTGAGATTTTAAATGTTATACTTATTTCTGGGGATAAAATATAAAATTAAACAACCCCCCATGACCAAAGCAGTTCTTCCTAAAAGCTACTTGTTATCAAGTTAAAGAAAAGTGGTAGGTCATCAATGGACATAGTAGTTTTTTTCAGTTTGACACCTGTATCAATTTACATTATTTTGTCATGCATGTATTTAGTCATTTGTAGACTGGGAAACATATTTATTAAATATTAAAACTTACTTGTTATGTAAAAGGGGATTGAAAGAAATAATGTTAAATGAATGAAAAAATAAGTCAAAATTTAAAGGAGGGAATATACAAACACACACACACACACACAATAAACATTAAAATGTAAAATATCTCATTAAGAAGTGGTAAGTCATATTTTTACAAAATAAAATTAACAATTAAAAAAACCCTTAAAAACAAAGACAAAATAATAATCTCACATTTATTTCTTATTTGTTATTTCTTAGGTTATGAGATAATAATAGCAATGCTACTTATAAGATTTTTAAAACTAGTGGTTTCAGTTTTTAATGAACATGTTCTATCTTGGTAGATATCGTGGTCCAGAGTTAGAGATGTGGGCACTAGGGGTAACTCTCTATACATTAGTTTTTGGAGAAAATCCTTTTTTTGATGTTGATGAAACAATTGCTGCAGTTCTCAGGCCCCCCTTCAAAGTGTCAAACGGTGAGTATATGTTTTTCTTTTATCTGTATTTTGTTTGTAACTTTTCTTGGAAAAGAATTTTTCATAACATTGCTATCCTGCTTATTTCAGCTTGCTTTAATTGAAAAAAAAAATGTTCATTGCTCTAGGCATAAAAAGTATTTTAAGTAATGCAACATAATAATTGTTAAGTCAATTCACAAAATGTTGATCTTAGTAGCTACTGTTATTGACTGTTTGAAATTTAAGAAAAATTTGTATGTCATACTTGAAGTACAAATAATTTTAACTTATAAGTAAATACACCCTTCCTAATTTATCTAGTCATGGTACTAATAATAGTAGTTACAAAGACACACACACTAACTGAAAATATGAACTAATTGTGAGCATATTTCAAAGAGAATAAATGTGTTTTATGTATATGTTGTGCTTTCTTACTTGTAACTCTTCTTCAATTATGTTGTTTTCCAGACCTGACAGACTTGATATCATGGTTACTTCATCCAGACCCCCAACATCGATGCACCCTCTCTGAAGTAGAAAAACATCCATGGACAACTCAAGAAGTTTGTCCAGAGAATTATAATTTTGAAAATGTTGTTCGCACTGGTAAGTCTTATTAATATTATCATGATAACACTATTTAAGTTATATAAAATTAGACACCATGATTCATTATAAAACAAAAATTGCTTAAGTGGCATATAAGTTGAGTTTTATTAGAACACAAAAAGAGAAAACATTTCACTGAATTACCTCATTATTTTTAAATGTGGTACATAAGAAAAACTACAGTTGAATTTAATATGTATAGAGAAGTTAAAGAAAATAATCAATAAGGTTGTTTTATTGCATTGGACTAGCCAATTCTTGAAAAGATTAAGAGGAGTGATTGTTGCTTATTGATACTAGGATGCTTGAGAAATTTTATTAATATATTTTCTTTGCTTTTTAAACAAGAATTTTTTTTCCCATCTCAAAATTCTATTAGTATCAGCCAAATTCAAGTTTTTTACAAATGCTTGAATGCTCTAACATACATGATGGTTTGTGTTTCTTTTCCAAAAGTCTAGTTGTTAGATTTCTTTTCATTTTCAGTATAAAAACAAATGCTTTTCTTATGGACATATAATTCAGTAATCTGTACATGACTGTGTGAAAGTCAAATAGGGGATGATCGACAATCAGAACAGGAAACAAAGTGATAATTACTGACCACAAAACACCTGTACTCACAATAGGTACTTGTGTATGAGGTTTTTTTTCTGAGAATGACCTTTACTCACAGTGGTTACTTATTTTACATATAGTGCCAATGTTAAATTTACTTATTTTTAGAAGTGATAGTTTATCACAGGTTTGTTTGCATAACTGTTTTCGAATAATATGTTGTGTAGTTAAAGTGTTGTGTGAATTGGCAATTATTGTATTTTTGTGTCATGTTACTAGAACCTTCTAAGTTTTTCTCATTTTTTTAATTGATTATTATTACATCATAATATCCTGAAGTGTGTGGAACATTCTAGGCCTTGGTTCGGCTATAAATACGCTTCCAAAATGTAGTTCGAGTTAGTTAGTTAGAAAGTTAGATCTAGATAGCATGACATAGTTTAAACACAAAGAATGTATAGTGGTGATTTTTAAAGTGAAATTATCATAGACTGTATTGTAATAACAGAATATACAAGAAATTATTTGTCTTGTCAATTGTGTTCTAAAGTAATTGAATCAGCCTTTGTGGATTTTGACAAGAAAGAAACAATTCATTAAAGCTCTGGGTAAAACTGTGGTAGCCAACAGTTATAATGGTAATTTTAAAGTAAAATTATTGCAGACTGTATTGTAATAACAGAGTAAAAAATAATAATTCACCTTGTCAAATTGTGTTCTAAAGTAACTGAACCAGCCTCTATACAGAGCAACTGCATTTTTCATTACAGAATTCTTTTTTTTTTTGATAATTTTGTTGAAATGTTATGATTTTGTGCTACATTGTTTCAAAGCCACCAAAATGGGTTGTTTATGATGTCATTATAGAATCCTTTTGTTTTGTAACATGATATACATTCATCTTTTAGTAGCACTCAAAAATTGCTTGTACAACAGTTTTAACACTACTGTTCTTAGTTATGTGACTTATTCATCTTAATATATGTACATAGAAAACCTCCTGTACAAGTGAAAGCTCAGTTGCTCTTGTTTTTTTCAAATTTGTTGTGACTAAACAACAATATTAAACTGAAGAAGTAGAGCAGTGAATACTGGAGAAGCCCCAGGATTTATCACTTATTTCTGTAAAAGTACAATGTCCTGGAAAAAATATGTGGTACTCACAAGACAAAGTCAGCAACCTACACAATATATAACGATTAAAAAAGTTAAGAATTCCCCTGGGAGACATTTCTTGTGAAGCTAAAACAAATACATCTGTGCAGGGATATAGGGAAATAAGGTTAGTGTATGCCATAACTCTATGGCACAATGCACAAAAATGCAAACAGCTATAAATGCTATAGGCCCTATGGCACAATGCTGTGAAAAGATTAAAAAATGTAGTACACTCTTTGCTGTCTTTTTTTTTTCCATATCTTTCTAGTAACTTTAAAAGACTGTGAAACAGACACTTAAAGCTATATTTTTGAACTGAAGCAAATTCTTCCTTCAGTCCATGTTGTTTTCTCAGCATCTTTTTATTAAAATGTACAATCATCAAAGTTTCAGTGCTTTGATTTATCAAATGAGATATATTCATTGTACTGGTCTGTATACTTGGAAAACAAAAGAAAGATTTCAGAGTTACAAACACAGACCATTGTGTTTTGAAGTATTTGTGGATACATAATAGAACTTAACAAATGTTATTAACATTTTGAGCTAGAAAAATATCTTACCTTCAAAAAAAATAAGTTAAACAATCTTCTCAATCTAAGTAATAGTAAATATTCCATACCCTAATCCATCTTTTCAAGAATGGAGGTAGTCCACGCAGTAAGGTGACTTTATAGAGCAGTCTCTAGTTCCTTTATGGAAAAAAAAAGAAATTCAAAAGTGTAGTTTATCTTACCATTTATTACACTTGAAAATGCAAAGTTCATGTAATGGAATGTTGGATGGTTGTTTTAGTTTTTTCAAATTGAATAATTTCCTGTTTAACTATTACTTCCCACTACTAATTGTCCCAGTAAATATTATTATACAGAAATGTTGTTGCCAAAGGAACAGAACAATCTTAGCTATTTTAGTAATTAATAGAAATGGTGTCCTTTCCTTTTTTTCAAAAATTATAAACCAATTTTTACAATAGAAATACACTTAGAACATGATTACGGCATTCAGGTCTTCAGTTCCTTATTCTTCCCTTAATACAGGAGATGAGTGAGTATGTACAGTTACACAAATTACTCAATTTCTCATTCTACCTCTAAAACTGGAGCTAATTCTGTCCAGTTACACAAATTACTCAATTCTTTATTTCACCCTTAATACTGGAGCTAATTCTGTCCAGTTACACAAATTACTGAGTTCTTTATTTCACCCTCAATACTGGAGCTAATTCTGTCCAGTTACCCAGATTACTCAGTTCTTTATTTCATCCTTAATACTGGATCCAAGTCTGCCCAGTTACACAAATTAGTAAGTTTTTTATTCCACTCCTAATACAGGAGTCAAGTCTACCTAGTTACATAAATCACAGATTTACTTTGTGAATTTTCATTTTTGAAAACCCATCAGTTAGATCATTGTACTTGACTTAGAGGCAGTTTCATTTTTGATTGAAATCATGCTGAGACTACTTAAACTTTTCTGATTAATTTTGCAATGCAAGTAAGTATTGATAAGCTATTAATTTTGAAAAGCTGCTTTTGACAGTAGCAACTAAAACAGATATCAAAAGAATGTGCAATACAGTTTACATTTTGGAATTAAAAGATAGCGGAGAATAAGGTCATGTGTATAATCAAGGACTGCTTTAGGGGATGTAGCATAAGAAGGGAGTAAGTTTTATAGGCAGCACAACTTTGTTACTTGCATATAATTCACTTGTGTTGGAAAATTTACTGTCTGTTAGAAGCAACTGTAAATCATTGTGATTTTTTGTTAGCATTATTTTTCTGATAGTTGTTTGGCATTCAAAGGAACCTCCTGTTTCTACTATGCTGGACCAACTGCTTATACCTTTCAGAAACAGAAACTAGGTTGATATCTACTAGAAGAAGAAATAATTCAACACAAAATTGCTTCTCGTGGTCTTTTTGTAGTTACATTGTGCTGTTCATAATTGAAGTATCTCTCTCTTTTTTTTTTCCTTCAAGAACCCTTTCTAACTTTGATAGCCTTGAAATTGAGCAACTGTTTCATTTCTCTGCAGTGATCACTATCTAAAATAACAACATATTTATGTATTTAGAATTGAGATTTAAACAGCATGAGAAATGTATTGATATTTTGGATTTTATCACTGGTTATTATTTTTGATGTTGTGAACTGAAATTTTTAACCAAAGATTAGAAGAATCAGGAACTTTTTATGCTTGATTTTTGATTGCCTTAAACATTTGTCACTGCTGTTAGGGCATTATGACAGTCTCTGATTTGATATATCAGGACTTTGACAGAGGCAATTCCATCTTCTCATCTAACTGAAGATACTAGCTTTACTGTGAATCCTAGTACATGTTCTTTAAATATTAACAATTTATTCATGAGTGCAGCAATGAGTTTAAGGTCATAGCGTAAAACAAAAACAAAAAATGCTGTTTAGCTATCTTGTACTCACCTAAATACCTATCTCATGATTTTGGCCCCATTATCGTAACCTAGACCTCTACAATTTCTTATTGAAATACCATAACATTTTGTTTGTTAGGGTAATATAGGAGTTAACCCATATCATGGGAAGTTTTTATCTTCCAAAAATGCAAGAAACTATTCTGCAACTTCAGCATTGGTCCTAGATGTATGTACTTTCATAGTTTGAAAGATAACTGCTCTGTTTGACTGCATTGGGTATGTAATTTAAAATCTCCAACTACAAGTACTTAGCATCCTTCATATACACATGTTCAGGTTTTTTTTGCTTAATTTTCTCTTCCCCAGGGGCTGAAACAAATAATTTTGGGTATGTTTCCTGAGGGAACTTGAGTATTTTGCCTCACTTGATACAGCTCTCAATGAATGTGTTCTTGAAATTTTCATAGTGACACAAGTCCCCATAAGTTTCCATATTAATAGAAGGTTTAGTGTGTATCACATAATAATTGTGTTTACTAGGTATTACAAAATGACAATAAGATGCTCCATAGGAATGTTTTTCTCAGAGAATCTATTGGATCTATGTGCTTCTGTTAAACATTTTTGAAAGCAAAGAATGGATGTGTTTCACTGAGTGTTTGTGTCACTTCAAGACAAGAGGAATGTTACTTCATTTACTATTTCTATTGTCATCTCTAAATGTTTTTATGGCATTACCAATAAGTTGCAGCAAATTTGCAAGTATACAGGTCAATATGATTTCGATGTCCCTCTTTAAACTGTTCAGCATATATTGTCATATGTACAGTAAGCATAGTTTCAGTGTTCTCCAAAGAAGATTCTGCTTTGCTTCTGTGACTTCTCTGTTTTTTGGAACAACCACATATTAATATATAGTATTCACAATTACATAAGCACAGAATGACCAGTAACTTTATAGTACAAATTGGAAATGCATAGAATACAAAACATTTGCAAGTGAAGTGTAAATTCCTCTTTATGTATTCAGTTTTAAATTTGAAGTAAATAGAAGTATCAATTATTACGATATATAATACCTTATGCTGGCAAAGTTTGATCTGTATATTAGTGGTTTCTGTGACACGACTTCACCATAAGACTCATAAGGATTTGTTAAAAAGTCTTATCAATCTTATGATGATTTAGTGTCACATAAACCATTAATTTTTAAACAGAAATATGTATTAGCTTTTTAACTCAAAAATAATATACCCCTTATTAAATATTCAAAATTCTTTTCATTAGAAATTTTAATTTTTTTTTATAAATTTACATAAATGGCATTTTAAAATAATTCATCTAGGAGACCAGGCTAAATTGCTTGTTGAAAACAACAATGATCCCTTATAACCATCTAATTAAGGAGGCTAGATTAAAACAAGTATGCAAACAAACAAGATGAGCTTGATCTTGTGGACTAACACTTAATTACTTTCTAAACACTAATTTTAAAAAAACAACATTAATCTTTGTTTTATGCTTTTTGTAATTTGTAAATTTTTGACAGACTGCATCCTTCAGATTACGAAGAAAGTACAATGGTGGCCAACCCACAGCAGGGAGGGAGCCAGAATTTCACAACATACATTACTGAAGAGCCACACATGCACAGAATTTAAAAAGATGATAATATTAATAATAATAGTAATGTTAATAAAATAATTTATAATGATCTCACTTTTCGTTTTAATGGGATTTCTGACATACCTTGATGTCAACAATTCCTTTTAAATTTGGTTATATGTTCTGTTGTGCTAATTCATAGTAGTTCTCTCAAGTGACTGTCTGTCAAATCGTTTTACTTTAAATTACAGGCATACTGAAATATGCTTTTTAAAGGAGCTGCATATCAGCTTTTGAAGAACTGCATGCGTTTCTAGAGCCGTGGGTTGGCCACCCCTGAAGAAAGAGTTAACCTGTGTTCATTGGTTGACCAGAACAAACTTGTGATAGATGATTGATGACTTTAACTAATAACAGTCCGGTTGATTTATACCTTCCATAAAAATTTCCCTTCTCCCAGTTAGCACCAGTCAGCAAAACACACCCATTTTGGTGCAGTGGAAATGTAATACCTTGTGGTGCTTCCTTATAAACTATGCCATAATTGGTTATTTATGTCTGTGATTGGCCAGGAAAGAAATACTTTTACCAGTGTCTACTAGAAAAACAATGTATTTTTAATATCTCCAGTGGCAAGCACATTAAGTTGTTTTTGTCGTTCAACAAATCTGTTCCTTTTCTTATTTCAAGTGAAAAAAAAATATTCCATTCTTATAAACAGTAAATAATTTCACGGATGATGTCTTTATAACTAATACTGAAGATTAAGGATGTAGATTTTATAAATACTGTTGCATGTTATATTGTAGATATAAAATTTTTATTAATTATGCTTTGTAACTATGTGTACAAGTTTCATGAATATGTTTGAAATCAATATTGAGCAAGCTTGGTTTTTTTTTCAGAATACAAGAATTATAGCTAGTAGATTAATCAAGGACATTGATGAACGTTTGCAGAGTATAAACATTAAGCAACAAGTCGAATTCACAGTTTGTAAAAATTTAGAAAAGTTTTATTATTTTGATATAAAAATATTATATCATAACCCATAGAATAGTGGAAAAGAATCCTAGTAAAATTTAGCAAGAGAGTGAAATTCTGGACCAATTTTGTGCCCAGGGCAGACAACATTAACTTAACATTTTGTAAGAAATTTAGAATTTTGGACTTGTTCTTATTACATGTATTTATTCAGAAAAAAAAACATTTTTTTTGTTTTATATAAGTCCCAGAAGAAATAGATCCACCAATGTATTATCACATGGAGTCATCATCTCATGCATCTGTAGTCCCAGCTCCTGAGCTGGCAAGTTCCAAGACAGTTGAGTTTGGTCTTGAGGCTTGTGGAAAGTTCACCAGAACTAACTCCTCATTGCTCATTGAGGCTTCATCATACACAGATGATCAAGAAATATACTTTTAGAAAATTACTGTTTGATTAGCACATCTTGTTCTATAGTAAAATTGGTATGAAATTTATTAAAACTTGAAACACTTCTGCTTAATATGGAGTAAAAATGAGCTTGTTTTACATTCAGAGAGCGTAATTTACTTAATAAAGTTTTAAACTTCAGTAAAACCAAAAATATGGGCCTTTATGAAATATACTATTTGCGAAATGATGATTTCATTTACATAAACTGCTTTCTACTAATATTGTTAATATTTAGAGGTTTTTCTCTGTAAATAAGATATTTATTTCCTTTTTCTGAAACACTAAGGCATCTGATTATGGGTCCTTATTTTATTTACACTGTGTGTGTAATTAAAACACTTAGTCTTTTGATGTCCATGCATGACGTTTCTTACTACTAAAAATATCACTTAGCTTAAAGAAAGTTGGCCACTACTTATTAGATTAACAAAGTGAGATTTAAGTGTAAATTTGCAGTTTATTAGTATAAATTTAAAATGGGTAAAAAACAGCATTCCCTTAAAGTCTTAAAGCAAGGGTTGTTAGAAATTTTACTATTTACACAAATAGATATTGCATTCCATCAACACTAGTTATCATTAGGACTTATAGGGATCAAGATATTCCATTGCTTTTTAGAAAAATGCTCACAAATGAAAAAAAGGTGAGAAGTCCTTGTGTATTTTTACAGTGTTGTTTGACACATAATGTACATACAAGAAAGAGTATTATTTATAAAGTAGGCATTCTTTTAAGTATCATTATAATAATAATTAACTAAACATTACACAAGATACTGTAGATGAGATCCTATTACTGCATTCCTTGCAGAAAGTGTTTTTAGTTTTTGTGTATTAAAAAAACCTTATTTGCAATAATATAAAATGTGACCTGGTTTTAAATAAGGTGTTTGTATTTCAGTTTTGCTGTGTTTAATAAAAGTTTTGTCCTTTTATGTCAGTCTTAACAATTATATGTAAATAATATAGTCCTATAGGCTGCCCAAACTTTTTGTTTTAATGACAACCAAGAAAAAGGGATAGGAAAATAAAATATTTTGCAAAGGTTTATTTTTTTAGGTTTACACAGAAATGTAGCATTATTTTTAAAGGTAGTATATGCAGTTTCCTTTCTCAGGTTTGGTATGCACTTATCGTGAGGAAGTTTTGTTTTGTTTTTTATTTTAAACAAAAAATAAGTTTGAATTATTTATAAAACAAACAAAGTTTGGACAGATGTACTAGTAAAACCTTGGTAAAGCTCTGAAATGCATTTACTAATAAGTATGTAGCAGGCCCTTTTACCTTAAAATATTAATTTCAATATTGTAATCCATGTATAGAATGACATTATATTTGTATCATTACTTATTAAACCACGTAGTTTGGGTGAGACCTAAACTAGCAGCTACTAAAGAGCAAGATCGATCAAGTATTAAACCAAGGTTGTGAGAAGCAAGTGTTTTCAACATTGTTAGTAAGAATGTTAGGTAATATGTTTGTACATATACTAATAATACATGTTATCTGGTACTTACAAATTTAATTTGATTCCAAGTTCTGGGTATAAGCAAGTGTTAGTGTGTTGACTGTGCCTTCAGTCTGTTACATATCATAGCTACATTTGATAATGTTATTGATAGGTACTTGTAAGTAAACTGGTATAAATGCACTTTTTTTATTTTCAATAATTGAATATGCTATACTAGAACCTCTTTCTAAAATATTTTAGTTAAGTCTGATTGTAAAAAAAAAGTAACTAAATTGTAAAATACATTACCATAACTGCTTGAAGGTTTTCAAAACTTGTATTGTGCTCCATAATTATTAACATTGTATAAATATTCTAGTTTTAAGGATCAAAAATATTTTTTTCTTTAAAAGTTGATAAAATTTGTTTGTTATTAGTTTGTATGATAACATATAACTTATTGTTAATTGATAAAATGTTTATAAGTAATTTCCAACATTATTGTTTTTTGGTAGACAGTATATGATTATCTTCGGTGTCAAGGTGGTACAACAGAATAGTAGTTGGCTTTTAGTAATTTTTAGTATATTTGGAAAGCTAATACAATTAAAGATGTTAGAAATGAAGACCTTATTAAATATTTACATTTATTAGTAAAGTATGATAAACAGGAGAAGATCAACTCAAAAGAGAGATTTCCTAAAATAATTAAAAAATTTGTTATCTTTGTTTTAAAAACTGATTGAATATTTTAGTCACATTGAAAAGAGAAGTTAATTATATACATCTGCTATTTAAAAATATATGTATACCAGCGTGTAGTAAGATGACTCTGAGTTTGTCTATTTTAATTCACATGCTCACATAGAAAGAAAATGCATACAACAATCTTCCTGGTGTTCTAGTGTTTATGTATCTGATATTTCTGAAACAGGATGTGAAATGACTCCACCAATGCTATATATTATTACTTAGTAACTTTTTGTTGGACACACTGAAGATCAAAATTGTAGGTTAAGTTGAATTATACAAAATAAAAACAATAATAATGATTTTATTTATACTTAATGTACCTTTTTACATTAAAAATTACATATTGAAATGTTATTATTAAAATATCTTGAATAATATTATTTCATAAAATGGTAAGAAATGAAAGTTTTTGGTGAGTCTAGAACATTCTAATGAAACAAGCAATACTGTTTACAAAAATCTCGAATATCATACATATGTCTGTTAACATTAGACTAGTATCATTATTTTCTGAGGTTTTGTCAAGGAAAAGTTTTGTTTTGTTTACATTTAATCAGTAAGTCTTTTTTAGATTATAAACTGGGACTGGTATAAGACTAATTAACTTAGTTCTTATATATATATAAAATTTAGCATTTAAAGCCATAGGAAAAAGCCTACTGAAGTGGATGAATAATTAAGAACTTTTTTGATGTTCAATGTTATTACTTGAGGCTTACATTATGCAAGCATGAAATTGTAAGGGATCATCTGAAAACACTTCCCAATCTTTTATTGACACTAAGTAGTGTTAACAAAAATATGAAAGTACGAGTGGTAATCATACACCAAATTTTTTAACTATTATTTTGAAAAGAATTAATAACTTAAGGTGAAGTATTAAAATTACAAAACTTATTCCACAGTATCTAGATTTCATTAATTCTGGAATTTGTTTATTGAATATCCCAAAATATTACACTTTTAATCAACATCTGATTGACCGAAAGTAAAATGTATAACTTTTTTCAGCTCAATCTCATTCTCATATTTTGTGTGACAAAAATCCATAGCTTGAGTATTAAATTGTTATTTTTATTGCTATATGTTTGATTTTTCCAAAAGCTTTAAATGGAAATTTCTTTATTTGCAGAAGCAGAACATTTCATTCCATAAAAAACAACAAAATACTGTTTATTATTTGACCAGAAAGTTATATATTTATATCTAAATAGTAAAGTGTAAATTATTTCTCTGTATAAACTTGTGCAGAATAATTGTACTCTTCATTAAAATGTCAGATGTACAGTCCACTTTATTTCACACGGTATTCTAAGTCGTATGTTTCATGCTTTAAAGTTATATTTTCATCAGCTTGAAAAATAGATTGTAATATCTAGGCTAGAAAAAAAATACAAGTAAATAGCTTAGTGTGACACCACTTACTGTTTAATTTTATATTTGCTTAATAGGCTACTATGAAATTAATACACTTTTTTTTATCTGCCCTTCACTTAATGTCCGAGAGAAAGAGAAAGAAAGAAAAGGCAACATTTGACAAGTTTGCAAATTACAAAAAATAAGATTGCAGCATCATGTAATCCAAGTTTAATCTGTCACTCATAAATTCTGTTTTATAATATTTATTTCAAAGATTTATCCAGACAAGAGATAGCTTGAATTATTTTAACTCTATAATGATTCTAAAAATATAGTTGAAAATATCTAGACTAGCTAGGTGCTGCATGTCTTCAACATATATATGGATTTGGTTTATAAGAAGATACTATACAAGATTCAAAGGTGTTTTTAATATTTCTGAGTTAAATATTAATTATTAGATAATAAATATAACCAAAAGGTTGTTTTTTTCCTGTAAATTCTAATTCCTATCATAGTATATTCAGTTTTATTACTTTACCTGTCTCAGAAAAGTAAAAATAATTTGAAACAAAAACTCGTTTATCAAGAAAGTGTTGTAACGCAAATATTTGTTGTATGGTCCTGTGTAGGTGAAATTAAAAACTAATAGATATTCGCTTTCTACATGACAGAAATATAAATATTTACATGTGTGTGTTCTGTTAAATTAAAGTTGCAACACAGCTGCACTTATATTAAATGTAGCCATGTTTTCCTTATGTTCTGCACCATTGGGATAAGTTATAAGGTTATATACAAATAGTTTTAGCTTATATTATCACACATGCTTCCCTTTCAAGTGTAATGCCAATTTTACAATTTTCATAATTGTAACTACTTAAAAAAAGCCCTTCAAAGCCCCACAGATTTTATAGCTAGAATAATACTTTAGTTATTATACAAACGAAACTAATCTATCTTATTAACTTTACTGTTTTTCCTTTTTTTTGGTACGAAAACGCTTTTTATGCCTTATAATGTTTTAGTAATCAAATATTACAGGTATTATCGTTTTTGTGTGATAGAACTTCACTTAAGTGTTGAATGCAAGTGTCTTAAAAATAAAAAGGTTTTACTAGTCAAAGAATGATGTTTACATTTGTTAGTTTTTCAAGTTGGATCCGTTCCTAGCATGAAATTATTTAATTATACAAGAAAAATTTTGAACTGTATAACTAAATGTACTGCGATGTTGGGTCTAATCTTGGGTCTACATCAGCTGCTATCACCCCCACTACTTGGATAGCACATGACTTACAGATATCTACATTCACGACAGTTACAAAAACACACTTTTTTCATACTGGTCACTTATGTAAGTTTAAATATCACTTATGTCATTTGTTTTTATACCTGGAAACATTTAACGATACTCATCGGAGATTGTATAAATAACCATTTACAAAATATCTACTACTTGAATGTTTTTTAAACAAAATATATTTGAGGTATTAATTTAGCCCTTTTCTGTTTACTGAACATCTTAAAACTAGTCACAGATTTCTTTCACATAGAAGATGAGAGTTCATCCGAATACAAACTCCTCTTTTTATTACATTTCTGCTTTTCCAGTAACTTTTATTTCAATAATTGATTTCTCTTGCAAACATGGCAACCCGAACATTCTTTTAGTTCATACAATAAAAGCGTAAGTTGTCGTCATTAACGATTATCACGTAATTCTTGAAGATATTCAAGCTGTTTAACCACACGGTTTTTATGCTAAAAAACAAATCTTCATTGAGATTGATAAATTACATTTGAAAACTCGTTTATATATCGCTAATCATAATGACAGATACTAATTTTCAATTTCGTGACGTATTTTCAGTCAAACGTACCTCAGCCAAATGGAAGTGTGGTATTTTTAGCTAGCATATATTTCTACTAAGAGTGATAGGATAAGCTCCTGAATAAAAAGATTCAAGATATCTGCAGCGAATTAATTCGGTATTCTCAGACTGAGTTCGTACGAAATAAAGAGAGACTGAACACAAATTTACAAATGTAATATTATTTTTAACCAACAGTGAAAATGTACTTTACTCGTCACAACGGACAGTCATCTCTACCGGAGAGTTAGATATGAAGTCGTTCTAACTTATTCAGTTTAGATCATAAGAATGAACTATTCTGTTGATATCTTGTTCCATACTGAACGTCAGACTTACCACATGCGACTAACACTATCCATGTGACTGGTCATTCCCCATGAAACCTAAGAAGGTCATTACCTCAAGAGATCACCAAAGAGGGGAGATAAAGAAGGAACTGAGACCTCGCCAAGACATGACATCCCCAGTACTTCTTACTATTTTCGACAAACTTATGACTTTATCAGAAACTTTAAACCCACCATCAAACTGCAAGAAAACTTAATCGTGGTAGTATTTCTTTAACCGTTAACACCTGAAATTTTCCTCTACCTATGATCTCCATGAAATTAAGAATCATAAGTAAATTGTCATACCCCATTAAAAAGTACTAACCTATTCAGTATTTTTGTAAGCAACGTGGATCTTTCCATAACTACTCAGGAAATTCTTAAGTTCTGAAAAAAAAAAAATTCTATCAACCCAAATTCCTTCTGTCCGCAAGATCACATCCTCAAAAACCAGAAAGATTATCCTGTTTGTTAGTAAACTGTCAACTAGCTGAACAAGTACTCCCATTTCAAAGTCAAGTAATCATTCCAGAAAACGATCACCAAACTTTCAAGAACCGTACCATTCTTTTCACGCGAGGTCGGCATGTTCCTGCCAAGATTACACTTCAAGTCCAAGCTACAGATAAACCAAACCCTCATAACCGATCAACAAACTCGATTCACAGCTTAATAAGGAAAATATGTTTTAACTCCCACAAAGAAACCCTTTTGCATTCAGCTAAAACCAGGTAGATTTAACCAAAGAACCTGAACCTTCAGATTCCGGGTCTGATGAAGACAACGCTATAGACCGCTTTGATATTGGCTTGAAATGCCTGTCATACATAAAATATATAGATGAATTCCTAATCAAAGCCATCAGCATGGGCGTCCTCAGGGGGGCACTTTATCCCACCTGAAAGATGAAAAACATACTTCTTTCTTTATTTGTTCACAATGTGTATATGCATTTTTATTCAATTCATAATTTCACACTACTTTGCCCCCACCTCAAAAAATTTCTGGGAATGGCTAGAGATGCTATCACCAGCAAAACAGCCAGAAACTATTTTTTTAGTGCATATTGATGTATATGAGACATATTAATACTAGAAATA